TGATGATGATGATGCTGATGATGATGCTGATGCTGATGCTGATGACGGGGATGATGATGATGATGATGATGATGATGATGATGATTGATGCTGATGATGCTGATTCTGATGATGATGCTGCTGATGATGATCATGGTGACGATGACGATGATGCTGATGATGATGATGATGATGATGATGATGATGATGATGATGATGATGATGATGATGATGATGATGATGATGATGATGATGATGATGATGATGATGATGATGATGATGATGATGATGGGAGGAGGGAGGAGGGGGAGGAGGAGGAGAGGAGGAGACGCGGGGCACCGTCTCTTCAAAACGAGGACCCAACACCACAGGATGGTTGGGAAAAATGGACGCAGGGGGAAGAACATGAAATATATGACGTAGGGGGCGACGAGGGGGAGTAGGAGGGAAGCAGTTTGACGACGATGTAGGAGGTGGAGCCTATGAGTCCCAGGCTTGCTCGCGCCTGCTGCCCGCGCGCGGAACCCCGAGGACTTGTCCGAGCAGCTTGAGGCCTCGCGGGCGGCGAACGAGGAACTCGCGGCCCTGGTTGACGCGGCCGAGGCCAGGCCGCTGCTTGCGCGGCAGGAGGGCGAGGCAGTAGGACGTATGCATGAGGCCGTGGTAAGGTGTGGATCAAGATGGGGGAGGAGTAGGGGGATGATGGGGGTCAACCCGAAATTCATCAATGATGTCGGAGTAAACTCCCTCCAAACTCCTTCTCTTGAGGTACCTACAAGGATTCATTTCCACAGGTGTGACTTCAACGCCTCGATTCAACGTGACTGTTAAATTTTGACGATCCAGAATCGTGCCCGAACACCATTCGTGGGACTGCAACACCGCGAATCAACATTGTTGTTGCGCTTAGAGAATCCAGACTTGTTTTTATTCATCATTCCAGGTACGCCAGCCATGCGAATCCGTGAAGCTTATTACCTGTAAAGCTCATGTGTGCGGCGCTAATGCGAAAGCCACATTTCGAGCAAGAAACCGCTTTCAATCCGTGGATTTTTTGTACACGTTTAAGTCGGGTGTGCACGGCGGTAATGCAATAACCACATTTCGTATTGCTTGTGATGTTTCAGATGAGTGTGCGCGGCGCCAAGGCGAAAACCGCATTTTGGAAGCGGCCCGCTGTCCGTCTGTGAAACTGCTGCTAAGTCGTAAGCTTTGTGCTCATAAACGGTGATGGCGTCTCATGCGAAACGCTTGGCCCGCCTTTTCGCCCGGCTTCGGGGTGCGATAAGGATTTAATCAGTCATAAGGAAAACGAATTGAAGATGAGGGCGGGGACGGGGACGTGGAGAGCGAGGACGAGGAGGTGAAGGAGGAGGGGCGGGAGAAAAAAGGGAGGACGAGGAAGAAAGAAGAGGAGGAGGAGAGGAGGAGGAGGAGGAGGAGGAGGAGGAGGCTGAGGAGGAGGAGGAGGAGGAGGAGGACGAGGACGAGGGGAGGAGGAGGAGGAGGAGGAGGAGGAGGAAGAGGGGAAGGAGGAGGAGGAGGAGGAGGAGGAGGAGGAGGAGGAGGAGGAGGAGCAGGAGAAATTGGAGGAGGGGGAGGAGGAGGTGGCGGTGGAGGAGGCGGAGGAGGAGGAGGAGGGAGAGGAGGAGGAGGAGGAAGAGGAGGATGAGGAGGAGGAGTAGGAGGAGGAGGAGGAGGACAACGCGATCCCCAGATGTCGTGCAGGAGGAGGAGGAGGTGGCGGTGGAGGAGGTGGATGTGGAGTGGGTGGGGGTAGGATGCACGAGGTGCGAGGTATGAGGGACGAGGACCAATGTCTAGAGTCCGACGCCCGCGAGGGTCTCGACGAAGGACAGATCTAGACGCGTCTGAAATCGCTCAGACTTGCAAGCGGTTGGCGCTGGCTGTGTTACAGTCCACAACTATTCAAGCTGGCGCCGATGTCACCCGTCATTGTCCCTGTCCTCCTTGTTGCCCTTCTCCTCCTCCGCTTCGTTGTCGTCCCCTCGTGGTCGTGGTCGTCCTTGTCCTCCCTCATCCCCCTCCTTCTCCTCCTCTTCCTCGCCTTCTTCGTCGTCGTCGTCATGCCATCCTCCTCATCGTCGTTGTCCTCCTCCTCTTCCTCTTCCCTCTCCCCTGATCGTTCTGTTCCTTGGTCCTCCTCGTCTTCGTCGTCGCCCTCCGTCGCTCTCCCTCTGGGGCTGTATGTGTTGGCGGGGTGGGGTGCCGGGCACGCATAGGATTGAGACGAATCGCTCCGCGGCTGCCCCGGGCCTCCCCCCTTCCCCACGCCGGCGAGGCTTCCAGAAAGCGGGCGGAGTACGAGTGGGGCGTGGAGCGCGAGGACGCTCTTGGGGAGGACGGTGGTGTGAGAGACGGGGGTGGAGGAGAAGGGGCGACGGGAGGGGCAGGGGCTATGGGGGGAGGAGTGAAGGGGTGGGAGTGGGGGAGGGGACGGGAGGATGGGGGCGGTGGAGGAGGGAGAGATGGAGTGAACCCAGCCAACGCCAGGAGGAGGAGATGAGTACGGTGGTGGTGGTGGTGGTTTTTGCTGGTGACGACGACGACGACGACGACGACGACGACGACGACGACGACGACGACGACGACGACGACGACGACGACGACGAGGAGGAGGAGGAGGAGGAGGAGGAGGAGGAGGAGGAGGAGGAGGAGGAGGAGGAGGAGGATGATGATGATGATGATGATGATGATGATGCTGATGTCCGAATCAGAGCTTGCCTCTGTAGGGGTCCTAGCGGATTTAAGGGTAGGTGAGGTGTGTTGCCGATTCGGTGGCCGGGCCCGGGTGCCCGGGTGCCCGGGTGCCCGGTTGCCCGGGTGCCCGGGTGCCCGGGTGCCCGGGTTCGCCGCCGATTCGGTGGCCGGGCCTGGGTGCCCAGATGTCCGGTTGCCCGGGTGACGGGTGCCCGGTGCCCGGGTGGGTGCCCGGGTGCCGGGTGCCGGGTGCCCGAATGCCCAGTGCCTTGTAGCCTTATAGTTTTATAGCCCTATAGCCCTATCGCCCAATTGCCCTGTAGCCCTATAATAGCCTTATAGCCCTATAGCCCTATAGCCCAATAGCCCTATAACCCTATAGCCCCAAACAAATTCTGATTGGGGTTGTTCTCTGGTATCATAATGATGGTGATGATGATGCAGATGATGATAATGATTGTGATGATGCTTCTCATGATGGTTGTCGCGGTGATGATGATGGTAATGCTGATTATGATGATGCTGATCATGATGATGATGCTTATGATGATGCTGCTGCTGATGTGATGATGATTACGATGATCATGCTGACGATGATGATGATGCTGCTTCTGATGATGGTTGTCGCGGAGATGATGATAATGATGATGATGATATTTTCTGACCATGATGATGATGATGATGATGATGATGATGATGATGATGATGATGATACTGATGATGATGATGATACTGATGATGATTCTGATGATACTTCTGATGATGGTTGTCGTGGTCATGGCGATAATAATGATAATGATGCTGATGATAATGCTGATGATGACGATTATGATGACGATTATGATGATGATGATGATGATGATGATGATGATGATGATGATGATGATGATCATGATCATGATGCTGATGATGATGATGATCATGATAATGTTGATGCTGATGATTGAGACTATGCTGTCCACGACGATGACGATGCTTTTGGTGGCGTCGATGATGATGGTGGTGGTGGAGGCGGCTGCAATGATCAGGATAGTGCTGAGGAGAGTGATGATGATACTGATGATGATTATGATTATGATGCTGATGACGATGATGGTGATGATGATGATGATGATGATGATGATGATGATGATGATGATCATGGTGGTGGCTATAGCGAGGATGAGGACAAAGATTGCTGGTGACAGTGTGGACGAGACGGGCTCGCCGACGACGATGATGTTGATGGTGCTAATGAAGATGGTGATGATGTGGCTGCTGTTGCTGATGGTGGTGATGATGATGACGATGATGATGACGATGATGATGACGATGATGCTGATGATGATGATGATGATGATGATGATGATGATCATGCTGATCATGATGATGATGATGATGACGATTATGATGATGATGATGATGATGATGATGATGATGATGATGATGATGATGATGATGATGGTGCTGATGATGATGGTGATGATGATGCTGTTGATGCTGTTGATGCTGTTGATGATGATGATGATAATGATGATGGTGATGCTGATGATTATGATGATGATGATGCTGATGATGATGATGATGATGATGATGATGATGATGATGATGATGATGATGATGATGATGATGATGATTATGCTGATGATGATGGTGATGATGATGCTGATGGTGATGCTGATGATGGTGATGCTAATTATAATGCCGCTGATGATGATGATGATGATGATGATGGTGGTGGTGGTGGTGGTGATGATGATGATGATGATGATGGTGGTGGTGGTGGTGGTGGGTATGGATGAGAGGGCGATGGGAGGGGTAGGATGTGGATGGGGATCAGAGAATATTCAGCATGCAGCACCGATGCTGTAGTACGCCCTCCCATCCCCAGTCCCCCTTCACGCTTTACACTATGAAGAGAGTCCCCTTGCAGGACGAGCTTCCATGAGGCTTTCATTCATGCGAGGGCCCCGTCGAATCATAGAATCGCCACCATCCCTTGAGTATCATGAACTTCAACAGGGGGAGCCCCAGTTTGAAAAAGAGCTGCCCTCCATCCGTGCATTTTTTCACAAGTCAAATTTTGGGCTACAGTCGGCCCGGATTAGTAGGTCGACCCTGCCAAATCAAGGGTACCTTCGTGTCCTGTGTCTCGCGACCCGTGCCTCCTGCATTCCTATGGCAATGTGGCCCTCGGAAGGGTCTTGTGTCCTCTCGCGTGTCCTGTCCAATGAAACCGACTTTATGGCAGGTGGGAGCGTCTGAGGCGAGAGCGCCATGCTGTACAGAAGGCGCCCTCCGTCCGCGTAATCTGCGCAAGTCGCACGGTGTGTGCCAGCAGGAAGGCCTGTCTCAATCGGAACCCCCATTTTGAACATGGGGATCGCCTCCCCAATCCATGTAGCAGTACCCATCGGTCGTTGAAAGTATGTATTTTTGGAGTCCCAGACAGATTCCAATCTACTTTAAGCGCCTTCCTACTTCAATGATCGCTTGGCTTCATCTGTTCCGTCCTCTTTAGGGGGCGTGCGGACACCCAATCTACTTTCAACGCCTTCCTACTTCGCGCTTCTACCTACTTCCGACCGATGGGTAGACTTTTTCAAAACGAGTGTGCATGGCACTAAGATGAGGTCACCATTATGAGATGACCTCAGACGAATCTGCGCGGTGCTGAGGCGGTAGCAACGTTCTGAACATGAACGGCGGCCTCTCCGTGCGTGTAGCGGTTCGAAGCTTCGAGCTTCAGGATTTTTTGATTGTCAGGAGGTCTCAGGCGAACCACCCCGACTGCCCTACCGACACGTCTGGTTGTGCGAGGAGGAGTCGAGGATGCGTGATCTTCGGCCCCTCCCACCACACTATTTAATTTGTTGAGACGAGACACAGTGGGAATATGGTAGGGAGTACCGCGGCTTCCCAGGATGCGGGCAACCTGGGAACGTATTTGGGGCCTTGTTTGGCGCCCTTGGGTTTCTTGAGGGCCTCCTGGGAGCTTCATGGAGGCCTCTTGGAGGCCTCCCGGGGGCCTCTTGAGGGTCTGTTGCGGCAAGCGGCGGGCTTTTGGGTCCATATTGGTGGAGGGGTTTCTGACGGTCTGACGGTGGCGCTCTCTCTGGGTCTTCCTCGGGGCCACCTTTGCCGCCTTGCTTCCCGGGCCCCTGCTGTTGAGGTGCTGACGCTTCGCCGCGATAAGTCATTCTGCTTTCAGCGATGGACCAGGAGTTTGAGGAGGAGGCGGAGGATGCCCTTGAAGGGTCTAGAGGGTTACATCTGGTCCCTCTTGAACTAGGTTTCCGTAAGAGGGAGGGGGACAAGGATGATAATGACGATGGCGATGACGACGCCGATGACGGCGATGATGATGATGATGATGATGATGATGATGATGGTGCTTCTGGTTATCATGATAGAAATGAAGCGACTCTGGCGATGAATGTGATTGTCTTGTTTCTTCTTAAATCTGCCTTGAGTGTTGGAAATAATCTGGAAATCATTTGTCTATCGTTGTTAGATCCAAAGCAGAAAATGTAGTACGCCAGACAAGCGATTCATTTGTTTTGCGTTTTGAGCTCAGTTTCTCTAGCGTTTTCAGATCTGTTCATTGTGTTGTTGAACATTGCCGTCTACCACGTCCTCAGTTCCTTCTCCTTGCGTCCAGTCCTCATTATATTTCTATCATCATTTTTGTGACCTTCTCTGATCGTCATTGCTGGCTGGTCGCGAAGCCTCTGGACCTGTTCCTCACCAGTGTTAGGCCGGCGTCGGAGCGTTTTTTGAGCGTTTTTAGCTCTGCGCCCCGGGCGCGGAGCGGGAGGAACGGGGGTGGGAACGGGAGAGCGCAAGCGAAGACGGCAGTGAAGACAAGGAGCGGCCTCTGACAAGAAAGCAGAAAACGCTGAAGTGAAGAAATGAAGATCCACAGCGACGGGCCCGAACCGCTTTCAACAAATGCAATACAAGCCGCAAACAACAATGTCGCGTCTTTTTTCAAGCTTCTTGAGCTTGTCAAGAGCCCAATGTGTAAAACGGTGGCGAAACGCCCAGGACGTTTTCGAGAAGAACCAAGGGGTTGTGATCGTGGTGCACGTGACGACGCCCATGATGATGGTGGTGTTCGTGGTGTTGATAGTTGTGGCCGTGATAGTAATGAGTACGACGACGATGAGGATACTGAGGTGGGGGATGATGATGAGGATGATGATGCTGATGATGCTGATGATGCTGATGATGATAACGATGATGATGCTGATGATGCTGATGATGATGACGATGATGATTCTGATCATGACGATGCTCATGATGATGATTATGATGGTGGTGGTGGTGATGATGATATTGATGTTGATGGTGCTGCTGCTGCTGATGATGATGGTGATGATGAGGAGGATGAGGATTAGGATGAGGATGAGGATGAGGCCGATGATGAGGAGGATGAAGATGATGAGGATGATGGTGAGGAGGAGCACGAGGAGAAGGAGGAGGAGGAGGAGGAGGAGGAGGAGGAGGAGGAGGAGGAGGTGGAGGAGGCGTACGCTACAGGTTGGTGCCTTGCAGCTTGCCCAAGAAAAAGGCGGAGGAGGAGGAGCACGAGGTTTTCGGACGTCTCTGGGCCTCCGGAGGCCTCCAGAGGCCTCCGGATCTTCG